GCTTCTGCGAAGCAGGATGTCGTGCAGCTTACCAGACTTGAGAGCATCATTTATTGTCTGGAGCATTGCAAGTCTGGTGTTCCACATCGTCTCCACAGCCTGCTTCAGTGACTGGTCCAGTGCTTTTTGTAACCTAAAATTGAAGAAGACAGTGCACAAGTCAAAATAGGGTTACAGGGACTTCAAAAATTGCAATTTGTTGGCCTTTCTTTTGGAAAAAAAATTTTTATTAAAAAGAAGAGCTTTACAACTGAAATTAAGTCAAGAAAATGTGACCTTTGCAATTATAAATTACAGTATCTCAATTTTTCTTTATTTATTTCACTTATCATATTTTATGATAATTTAAGCAGCCTCACCAGGCAGAGATTACAAGATTTTATGTATCTTACCCTGCCCTTTTGAAATGTGTGACTAGGGTCTTTGCGTCCTTAAACAGCTTGATGACGCTGCTGTGTACTGGGTTGTCCTCATCCAAGTGGTCAAATACGTGTTTTAAGATCAAGTTGATATTATGGCCGGCACAGGAGAGTCGCACATAATCCTTGAAAGCAGCGATCATGTTTGAGCCATTATCTGTCACAAACACAGTGTGCTTGCTCAGGATGCCAAATTCCTGTTAGGTTAAAACAAAAAACAAAGACAAACCAAAAAAAAACTTAGCAAATAAGAAGACCAGACATATGATAATCATAAAACATTTTGATCAACAGTCATGTAATTGTACGAAGCACTTTTCAATAAATTTATAGTACTACATTAGGACAAAACATATTACACATGTGTTGTGTATCAAATGAAGGAAAACTCCATCTGCAATTAAGGTAAAATATTATGGTAATCTGCCTAAGTTGCTGCCTACCACAGCACAGACTGATGTACAGCGAAGGACCGTGACACACACGCTTACTGATGCACTTATTTATATTCCAAGTTAGTCTGCTCCTGCAACCTGGAATACCTTTCAGCAGGAACTGAAGTTGTCCACCTTAATTTATCGTGAGGGGTTTTAAATGTTTGATAAAGTCAATAGAAATCTCAAAGCAAATATATTCTTGTTTTTAGTATTTTACTTTTTTTATGGCACCCTGATTTATTGTTTTAGACACTACTTTTATTTTAACTGCATTTTTACTGTAGTTTATCATTATTATTGTTCACTGTTATTGTTGTCTGTACTTTATATGTTCTGTCTGTCTGGATTGGAACAGGTCTCTTGAAAATGAGTCCTCGTGACTCACTGAGGTTAGCCTGTAAAGGTTGAATGAAATATATATATATATATTTGTCTTTTCTATTGTTCTTTCTGTGACATGTTCTTGTTATTGCTGCACCATGTTCTCATACTTTTCCCAATTTTACGAATTAATTGGCAATATTTATTGCATATGGACTGTACTTATATAGCGCCTTTCTATCTTATTTCAAGACACTCAAAGCGCTTTACACAACAATCTGTGCCTCATTTACCCATTCATACAGCTTTATACTAGATCTCTACAAAGCTAATATGCCATGTAAATAAAGATAATTATCTCATTTGAGTGTGAGATACCTGAAGGATTTTCTCCACAGTCCCTCTGATGTGTTCATTGGATTTGACACCCTCCATCTCCCTTGTGGCCAGAATACGGTTCACCATCTTCCCATCCAAGATGTAATGGACTGTAACGGTGATGTAGTGTGTGTTTGTCCTCTCCTCTGTCCAAAGGTCTGTCGTGATTGCATGGTCTCTAGTCTGCACCAAAGGAATTACGTATATTGTTATTAGCTCTCAAAGTATATTACACGTAAAACAGATGACTAATTCATAGTTGAGAGATTAAGCAGTTTAAAAGGAGGAGAAAAACCAGATTTAGCGTTTGGAAATCTATAATTATAGACTACTGCATGATGTTAAGGTAAAATGTTTGTACTATATTATAAAATAGTGCAGCGTGATAGACATACCTGATGGAGCTCTTCCATAACTATTTTTATTTTATCATATTCTCCTTGAACATGACGGGAGACCGTGCGTCCACATGGCAGTATATCTTGTGCCTCAGCGTTGTTTCCATACTTTGCTCCAATGTTGATTGCCTCCTGTATGACGTCGATGAAACCTTTCCCATCTACTACAGCAAATGGTCTCAAATCTACGCCGCACATGCGGGCTATTTTGTTGGTCATACGAGACTTGAGTCCTGATTCGTTCCGGAATCAGCCTTGCAAGTGTGCCTCTTCAGAGTCAGACCACTCGTCCCTGAGTCAGTGACGTACTTTATTATAACTGAACATGTTTTGCAAGCAGCGTAGAGTGTCTTAACACCGTCACACTCGACTCTCACAAAGTTCTGAACTATTAGCGCCTTCCCTGACAGTTCTGTTAACCTAACAGATGCGTCATTATTCCTAACTTTGCGTTTCAAAATATTTTTTACCCTCTCGGTTCCTCCGCTGGCGTATGCTCCCTCCATGTTGTTGGTTGATACAGTAAACAAAGAGGTTGGAAAAGGCGGCCGGAAGTAGCGGCTGGAAAAGGCGCCGGAAGCTGTAGGCGGCGCCGCCGCCTGTCTGAAATTTTTTTTAATTTTTTTTTGCCTATTTCTTTTTTTGTCCTATGTTGGTTCCCGCTCCCGTCTGCTCCCGTTAAGTTTTCGTCCTGTCCGGTCCCGATAACGGGAGTTATAAGAAAGTTGACTCTGGTCCTGCCGGAATCCGGCCAGTACTCCCGAAAAAATGTCATCCTCTAGTCTGTACTGAAAACTTCCAAGGTCCAAAATGTCCAGATTAGGGTTGCATTCCACTGGTCCGTGTTTACAAGCCTCTTCAAGATGATTTTTTTCACGCTGATGAGTCCAAAAGCTGCAGGTGGCCTGCGATTCAAATCACTTCCATCTTATGGTTTCACTCATATCAGCTGATTTTGAGTCATCCAGCATGAATCAGACCTTCACGTAGACAGCAGCCTGTCGAGGTCCACATTAGCTGCAGCCGTCTTCTTTATACGTTGATAAGGCATGATCCGGACTATTCCAAAAACAGGAAACCTGTTATCATAAATCTAATTATTGGCAATTTCAGCATCCTCGGTCGATAGAAGAGGTAGACACATACCCCCCCAGAGATATATCCAGCTAAATGCGTGTCGTCCAAGCAGATGAGGGTTCTCCAGGACCCTGTCACTTTGTTGAAAAGAATTTGTAATATACGTTGAAAGCCAAGTTGGTCAGATCCAAAACAGTAGTTTCCATTTCGGGAGTTATGTAAAAAAACTAAAAAAACAATATTCTATTACAGAGACTTGAATATGATGTTGGGATTATAGGAACAACTCTAAATTGGTTTAAATCATATCTATCTGATAGATTCCAATTTGTTAATGTAAATAATGACTCTTCATCATATACCAAAATTAGTCATGGAGTTCCTCAATGTTCAGTGCTTGGACCTATACTCTTTACCTTGTATGTATATGCTTCAATTAGGTAATGTTATTAAACAGCATGGGATATTGTTATGCTGATGATACACAGTTATATTTGTCCATGAAACCCAATGAATCCAATCAGCTACTTTGACTACAAGCATGTCTTAAAAACATAAAAACCTGGATGACCCTTAATTTTTTGAATGTGAACATAGACAAGACTGAGGTTTTAATTGTTGGACCTGAGCATCTTAGGAAATATTTTTTCAGTCTTTTGCCTTCCTTAGATGGCATTAATCTGGTGTCCAGCTCTAATGTTAAAAATCTTGGTGTTATTTTTGATCAGGACATGTCTTTTATCCCCCACATTAAAAACGTTACAAGAACCACCTTCTTCCACCTGCGTAATATCACTAAAATTAGAAACATCTGATCTAAAAATGATGCAGAAAAACTGGTCCATGCATTTGTCGTGTCTAGACTGGACTATTGCAATGGTTTATCATCTGGGTGTCCAAATACTTCTTTAAAACGTCTTCAGTTAATCCAAAATGCTGTTGCTAGAGTCTTAACTGGAGTTACTGGGAGAGATCATATCTCTCCAGCTTTAGCTTCTCTCCATTGGCTCCCTGTCAAGTCCAGAATTGAATTCAAAATCCTACTTCCAACTTACCAAGCTCTCAACTACCTAGCTCCATCTTATATTACAGATCTTATTGTTCCATATTTTCCTAACAGAGCATTTCACTCTCAGACTGCAGGCTATCTCATGGTCCCTAGAGTTTCCAAAAGCAGAATGGTAGGAAGATCTTTTGGATATCAGGCTCTTCCCTTGTGGAACTAACTTCCAATCTCTGTCCGTGAGGCCGACACATTGTAAAGTTTTAAGACAGGGCTTAAGACTTTCCCTTTTGATAAATACTATAATTAGGGTTGGCCTGTTATGCTGTCTAAAGCTTAGACTACTAAAGGACAAATTGACCTCAGTTCCTTAAAATGAATTGTTAAAACTGAATAGTTTAATTGGAAATAATTTCTATCTTAACATGTGATGCTTGACCTGGCTTAGTGTATCTGTTCCTACCAAACCCAGCCAGTTGAAGCAGATGGCCGCTTGTCGTGAGCCTGGTTCTGCTAAAGATTTCTTCCTCATGAGGGCGTTTTTCCTTTCCACTGTCACCTTCATGCTTGCTCAAGGTGACAGTTCTGAAATAGAGTTAAACTCAAAGCAGTCTGCTCCTCAGATAAATAATGTTACATTATTATTTTTTTATGTAAATGTTTCTGTTCAGTGCCCTGAGATGATTTCTGTTGTGACTTGGTGCTACATAAATAAACTGAATTGAATTGAATTGGTTGGGTGTTGTAGACTGTGCTCCGAGAACAGGGACCACATTTAATAGCATGTTGTTCTGGTGAGCACATTGGAAACTTACTCATTAGAAACTCACAGTTGCACATAGAGAAAGTCACACATTCACTCTGTCTTTCCCATGAGGCTTTGCAGGGAAAGGCAGTGATATGAACAGTCAACTCACACACTTTATCAGTTGTCTGATAAAATTGTGCCTGTACTTTAAGTTCATTCCTACAGGTTGTTACTGGAGAAAAAACTTGATGTCTCTGAAACTGTTTTGGAGATGCTTCGAGACAATGACTCATTTGATGTGAGGTCCAGTGCTGAAATATGTGGTCTCACCACAGCCATAGCCCCACCAGGTCCATGGCCTTCTTTACCCCTGGCTTTAAGCTGTTCTGGTTCTTCCCCAGCTCGAAGAACAGTAGATATGGTGGTCTCCATTCGGCTGCCTTTGTAAATGCTTGTCTGGGTCTGAAGATAGCGGGTGGACTTGAGTTCAAGGCCCTCATAGGAACCTTGGAGGACACAGGGACAGCAGCGGAATGCTTGTTTAAAACCAGCACGAAACCTGTGGGAAAAAAGCATAGATGAGTTTAAATTTAAAAGGTGTGTTACATTTTGTCTTTACATAAATGCAAAAATGAAAAACTAGATATTAACAGTTGGAAATATACTTTAACAAAATGTTGTCCACGAGAAGAATTCCTACTTCTTTGTCCACATTTGACTCTTTCAGCATATTAAAAAAATCGGTCCTCCTAAAGTTGAAGAAACAGCTCTAATAGCTTTTTCTGTTTCTCTACTGTAGTGGCAGTGAGTAATAAAAACAAACTATGAAAACTTATTCAACACCTACCGATTTTTCATACTACATAGCAAGCGAAATATGATAGACATGTACCTAAATCCCTATATTGTGTGGCAAATGTTGAAAAGCAACACAAACTGGTTTTAAAAAGTTTTTGGGATTATTTCAAGCCGTTTAAGTCACAGCTTTGGAAACAGTTCTTTCACTTATATCAGAATCAGAATCAACCTTTATTGTCATTGCACAGAAGCACAACAAAATGACATTTCAGTACAGCCAACCAAAGAAAAACGAACGTGAGTAGATGGGGATGCCTGAGGTTGTTACGATTACGCGGGGAACCCAGAAAGTATGAGACCAAGAACGAGGCAGACACAAGGGAAGTACAAAAAGAACAATGTTTATTATTTACAGTGAAAATCCACACGCTGCTTCTCAGCGGCTCCTGGAAAGAGGGACGACAGGTTAATGTTGGTCCAGAGGGGAAGACCTGAGTGGTTTGTTTGAAGAGCGTTTTTGTCCTTACAGTCCAAACACGAAGGAGGGGAGCTGGTCCTCCAGTCCAAGGAGTGAGCAGCAGAGGGAAATCCAACGAGGGTCCAAGGGAACAAGGAAGGCTGGCAACTGGAGGCAAAAATGGCACGAGGAATACCTGACAGGCCGAGGGATCCAGATCAGGTCACGAGGAGATCCAAAAACACGAGGAACCAGGAAACATGAGAGGTGATATGCTCCAGCGATGAGTCACACTGGGCTGCAGCCTTTTGTAGATGGAGCGGCTCATCAGGCTGATGACCGCCAGGTGTTGTTAATCAGCAGCCATCGGCAAGGCAGGCTGCAGGCAATGGGACCCTTACAGTACCCCCCCTCAAGAATCACCTCCAGGTGACCTGAGGCGCTTCTCGGGGTGGTCTCTGAAGAACCTGGAGATGAGGCTGGGGTCGAGGATAAAGGACCTGGGGATCCATGACCTCTCCTCAGGACCGTACCCCTCCCAATCGACCAGGTACTGGAAACCCCTACCCCTGTGTCGCACATCCAGGATGGATCTGACGGTGAACGCAGGGTGGTTGTCAATCAGGCGGGGCGGCGGGGGGAGGTCAGAAGGGGGGCACAAGGGACTGAGGGAGACGGGCTTCACCTGGGACACATGGAAGGTCGGGTGAATCCTCATGGCCCTGGGGAGTTGGAGACGGACCGCAGAGAGGTTAATGATGCGGGTAATGGGGAAGGGCCCAATGAAGCGGGGGGCCAGCTTGCGGGGGATGTCCCGCAGTTTTATGTCCCTGGTGGACAACCAAACCTGCTGGCCGACCTGGTAGGCGGGTGTCGCTGAACGGTTGCGGTCCGCGAACCGTTTAGCCTGGGCCGCGGTCCTAAGGAGGGCCACCTGAACGGTAGCGGTGATGGGCCAGGAGAGGGAGCCAACAACACAGGAGGGGGGAACAATGTTATCGGAGCTCTCAGGCGAGTCAGGAGGGGCAAACTGCCTGGACAGGGCATCAGGCTTGACGTTTTTAGAGCCCGGACGAAAAGTAAGGACAAAATTAAATCTATTAAAAAAAGCGACCAACGGGCCTGACGGGGGGGTCAGACGCTTGGCGTTCCTAAGGTAAGTCAAATTTTTATGGTCGGTCCAAATCAAAAAAGGGATCTCAGTGCCTTCCAACCAGTGCTGCCATTCCTCCAACGCGAGCTTGACCGCCAACAGCTCGCGGTTGCCCACGTCGTAGTTGCACTCCGCTTGAGAGAGACATCGGGAAAAGAAGGCGCAGGGATGGACTTTATTGTCTGAGGGTGCTCGCTGGGAAAGGACCGCCCCTACCCCAGTGTCGGAGGCATCCACCTCCAGAATGAACTGGTGCGTAAGGTCTGGGTGGCAGAGGATGGGTGCGGAGGAAAAGAGGGACTTGAGTTTCTTGAAGGCGGCCTCAGCCTCTGGGGTCCAGTGAAAGGCTCGGGCAGTGGAAGTGAGCTGAGACAGGGGGGCAGCGACACGACTATAATCTTTAATAAACCGCCTGTAAAAAGTTGCGAAGCCCAGGAAACGTTGTAACTGTTTCCTGGACTCGGGGGTCGGCCAGTCGACTAACGCCCTGGTCTTCTCGGGGTCGGTTCGACAACGTCCGCCCTCAAAAATAAAACCTAGGAAGGAGACGGTGGAGGTATTAAACTCACACTTCTCCGCCTTAACGAACAACTGATTCTCCAGCAGCCGCTGAAGAACTGTGAGGACGTGAGCCGTGTGCTGAGAGGGGTCGCGAGAAAAAATAAGAATATCGTCGAGGTAGACGAAAACAAAATTACCAATAAAGTCACGCAGGACATCGTTGACGAGCGCCTGAAAAATTGCGGGGGCATTGGTCAACCCAAAGGGCATAACTAAATATTCAAAATGACCAAAAGGAGTGCGAAAAGACGTTTTCCACTCATCGCCCTTCTTAATACGCACAAGGTGGTAAGCGTTTCTTAAGTCGAGTTTAGTAAAGCAAGAAGCCAACTGTAATTGTTCCTGCAGTGAGTCAATGAGGGGGAGCAGATACTTATTCTTTATAGTTATGTTGTTTAATCTGTGGTAGTCAATGCATGGCCTGAGGGTTTTATCTTTCTTAGAAACAAAAAAGAAACCGGCTCCCAAAGGGGATGTCGAGGGTCTAATAATACCTGAGGCAAGGGATTCATTAAAATAATTGGACATAGATTCCCTTTCGGGACCAGAAAGATTATAAAGTCTACTTGACGGCAAGGGGGCGCCAGGTAATAAGTCAATCGAGCAGTCATAGGGACGATGAGGAGGAAGAGACAAGGCGCGTTGCTTGCTAAAGACTGCCGCTAGGTCGCGGTATTCAGTAGGAACAGAGGTGAGGTCGATCTCCTCTAGAGGAGGCATGTCCCGAGGGAACTCGTTAATGGCGGAGCGAAGACAGTTACTGAGACACTTGTCGCTCCATTTGTCAGCGCAGCCGCGCTCCCAATTAATAACAGGGTTATGGTTTCGAAGCTGGGGAAAACCTAAAATTATTTGGGGCGTACGAGAGTTTAACACAAAGAAATCAGTCATCTCATGATGATTACCTGAGATGATGACATGCAAATCGGTGGTTTTCTGATTAATGCGGGCCAATGCGTCTCCAGTTAAGCCGGCGACAGAAATCGGGGGAATCTCACGAGTAGGCAAGGAATGTTCTCTAACTAAATCAGCACTAATCAGGTTTTGTTCAGCACCCGAGTCGATGAGGGCTGAAAACGAAAAGCGATGGTCAGGAGTCTGAATGACCATGGGAAGCAACAGTTTAAATGGGGAGGTTAATGCAGAAGTTCCCACCAGTAACTCCCGCTTTACTGGTGGAAGTTCTCATCCTCCCCGAAACGGACAGTGGGGCAGAAAATGACCGGGGTTACCACAATAAATGCAGAGACGGGCGGATACACGCCGCTGTCTCTCTGCAGGAGTCAGCCATGCGCGCCCCACCTGCATAGGCTCGGGTGAGCGATCTCGTGGAGAGAAAGAAGATGATTGGTTGAGACCAGGAAGCATGGAGGACTGGGAGTTGTAGTTCAAGGAAGACTGCTTGGGTGAAACGGACTCGTGGCGAGGGGTCTTGAACCCGGAAGTGGGAGGATTCTGGGAAGCGTAGTACAAAGGTGCAGACTTGGGCTCACCTGGAGAAGTCGGAAACCCGGAAGCCGGGGATCGATGGGAATTGTAGTTTGCCTCTCTCCTCCTTTCCCGGAAACGGTCATCGATGGAGATGGCAAGGTCTATTAACTTGTCAAAAGTCTTGGGCTCGTCTGGCCATCTGGTCTTTGAGAAAATCAGATAAGGAGTTTAAGAAAATACCTTGGAGGGCAGGCTCGTCCCATCCTGTTTGGGCAGCAAGGATCCGAAACTCCAGGGCGAACTCTGAAGCGTTACGACGGCCCTGTCGTAAATTCAACAAACGCTTGGCGGCGTTCGACGTCTGCAGGGGGCGATCAAAAATCCTACAAAACTCATGCAGAAATAGTTCATAGGTTGCAGGGGATTTTCATGGCTCAGGAGAAATGAGTGAGCCCACCGGAGAGCGTTACCCTTGAGCTGACTTACGAAAAAGGTGATCTTGGCCGCGTCCGAGGAGAACTGAGAGGGAGCCGCCTCGAAGGCGAGTCTGCACTGCAGCAAGAAGCCGCCACATTGGTCAGGGTCTCCGGTGAAGAACTCAGAAGGTTAAATTAACATTTGTTGAACAGGAGGAATGGAACCAGGAGCCGCGGGGGCTGACGGAACGACTGGAGCTGAGGAGGAAGAAGCTTGCAGTTGACGTTTAATGGAATACATCATACCTTTGAGCTCCTGAAGGTTGGACTGGACTGTGGTCTGGTGAGTCAGTACTTGCTGCAAAACTTTTTCCAACCCGTCGATCCATTCCTCCGGGGAACCTGGGGTTGTCTGCTCTCTCTTGGTCTCATTCTGGGTCTTTTGTGGCTGGAGCATTTCTGTTACGATTACGCGGGGAACCCAGATGGTATGAGACCCAGAATGAGGCAGACACAGGGGAAGTACAAAAAGAACAATGTTTATTATTTACAGTGAAAATCCACACGCTGCTTCTCAGCGGCTCCTGGAAAGAGGGACGACAGGTTAATGTTGGTCCAGAGGGGAAGACCTGAGTGGTTTGTTTGAAGAGTTTTTTTGTCCTTACTGTAATGACTAGCGGAACCCAGATTGGTACAAGACCAGAACGAAGCAGACTCAGATCTTAGAAAAGAGGAAACGGTGT